GGCGCGTAGCCAGGGGACGCTGGGAGAGACTTGCGTGTCCGTGGGCGCTTCCTCGGCGCCTGGATCTCCGCTCTGCCCGGCGCATCCCCTCCCTGCTGTCCTGCCCGTCTGCTGCGCCCGATGCGTAACGTCCGTGGGCTGGGGATTTAGGACGAGCCTTTGAGTCACCGGCAGCGCCTAGGGCAGGGCTGGGAGGTGAGGTCAAGTTTCCAGATCTTCAGTTTGCTTTTGTGTCTGCAACCTTCGTCCTCTCCTTCTCCCTTTCGGGCAGTTGCTCCTTCCTTATTTTGCCCCTTGCCTTTGGCGCTGCTCGCTGGCAGCCCGGCGTTTGCTGAGCATCGCAGGAGGAGCCAGCGCTTCCCGGGGGTTGATGCTGCTGGTGGGGGTGGAGCGGTCAGGCTCTCAAAGGGGTAGTAAAACCCAGAATGATTAATTAGTAACTAAACTGCTTCCTTGCGGGTGCCTGCGCAAACGGGGGAGCAGATCTGAGGCTGGTACCGTCTGCGGGGCTGCGAGGGGCTCTCGCCTGGCAGCAAAGCTGCCGTGATGTCCGCGTCAGCACGGCCACCGGCTCCTTTGACAGCGCGACTCGGCACTCCCAACCCTGTTCTCTCCCTTTAGTTTTTCCCCAGCCACCCTTCTGTTTGCCTGCTTTGCTGATGTGCTGTTTTAAGATGAAGCAAATGCTTTCTTTGGGAGGGGCGTGTGCATAGCGGGAGCCGGCAGGCTGTGCAAAAGCAGTGGGAACTCCTCGGGGTTAATCTGGGCATTAAAACAGCTGACTGCTTTTTAGCCTAAGCCAAGAGGCAGGAGACTTTTGTCTTTCGTGGATGCTCACATTGGTGCTCCTGGTTTGTAGGATTACTCTGGGCATGGCTCTGGAATAAGAGCACTGGATTGCTTGAGCCCCAGAGGCCCCTGGGCACTTCCGTGTCTCTACATCCTTTGGTGGCTTCTTGTCAGCACATGGACTATATGCTCCAGCCCACGGGCATCAAAAACTTTTGTTCTGTCTAATTTAAAAAAAGTTAGGAAACTTTCTCTGCCCTGGCAAAGTCTCTGTGGCGGTTCAAAGCGGCTTCTCTTTCATGGCCATCCTCTTGGCAGCCCCAGTTTGGAGTGTGGGGTAGGGGACCTGCTGAGGCACGGTCCCGTTCCTGCCCACTGCCTTCAGCAACCCGTGCTGCCAGGTGGGGTGCATGCCTCCGTTGCCTGGTCAAAGTGGGCAGGTAGGTCGTGCCTAGGTGGCTGTTCCTGCTGGTTTCCAAGCCTGTCCCATGTGGGTGCACCAGAAATGGGGTCACGAGCCTGTGGGAAGAGCCAGAGGGAATGTGCCGTGAGCCTTTGACCTCAGGAGATGCTTGCTCTGTGATTGCTTGGGCGGGCAGGGAATGCATGCTGTATAAAAGCCCTCAAGGAGAGCTTGCTCCGGCAGTGTGAGCTGGGCTCTCCTGAGGGATGGCTGCTCCCAAGGAGGCTGAGCTGGGTGGCACAGAGCTAGGCGTCACTGTCAGCCCTGATGCAGCTCCCTCCCCAGGTACCATGTCCACCCGGCGGCTCCGCAGCGAGGACTACAATGACTACAGCTCCACGGACATCACGCCAGAAGGGAGCCCGACTGGGGGCATAAACGGTTTTGCCCACCCCGGGTCCTACCAGCGCTTTGGGGAGACCAACGGGACAACGTGAGTGCCTCTTCCCTCTCTGCTGGACAGGTGGCTTGCGTGGCTCATGGGGGAGGCAGGCAGGGGCAAGAGTAGGTGGTGACAGCACCATGCTGCCGTGACATGTGCTGGAGGGTGATGGAGCCGTGTTTGTATGGGAATTCCCTCCATGGGAGCAGAGCTGTGGCCCTGCCTTTGAAGGGACAAGCACGCAGCCTACAAGCTGTGTCATGGGGACAGAGATGTGCTCTGTAGTGCAGCTGCCCTGGCTTGGTGCTGCTTCCCAATGAAGCCTAGCGTGTAGGCAGCGGGAAGCGTTTTAGATGCTTTCCCCAAAATCCCTCTGCTTTAGTAAGGTTTGATGTGGAGCTGTGGAAAGCAGGTAGCGTGCCCAGCTTCAGAAGATGCCTGGGCTTATTACAGTCACGGCCTGGGGGCTTCCTCACTTCTGATTCAAACAGAAGGCCAGACCAGGCTTATCTGACATCAAAACTGTACTGCTGATAAAATTTGAGGCCTCTTTTACCCTGCTAGGTAGGGCCAGCATCTCTGAGCATTGCCAGAGGATGCTGATGTCTCTGCTTCAAGGAGGCTTGATGATTTGGCCCGTTCGACCCAGGGAGTTTCTGATCACGCAGCCGCACAGTGCTGAGCTGAGCTCCCTTTGGGTTTTGCCTGGGAGCAGGTTCAGCAAATAGCAAGCCAAAAGCTGTTTGCTTAGTCTTTGCCTCCAGCCCTCCCTGGCTCCCATGCAGAGCCCAGCTAGATTCAGTGAAGGTGGTCTTGGCCTCCGGATGTTTGCTACAGCAGTGTATAGACGGTGAGTGGGAACAGGCACCGTACAGTCTGGGTGTGGGCTTCTGCCAATGCTCGTGGTGATCGCCGTGTCTTCCCTTCCTCAGATGGTACCAGACCTTGATCCACCTCTTGAAGGGAAATATTGGCACGGGCCTGCTGGGGCTGCCTCTAGCCGTGAAGAACGCCGGCATCTTGGTAAGGAATCCAGTTTGTGCTGGGCCAGCTCGCGCTGCTGGTGTTATGGCTCGTCCCCCCGCTGAGATGCCTCCGGGTGCTCGTTGGCTTATAATCTTCTGCACCTTGGACTCTTATTTGTCTCATTTCCTGCTATGGCTATGTTGGTTGCTCCTGTATCAAGTTAGCTGATGTAGATAAGTTCAGCTTGTGAGGCTGGGCTATGGTTTCCTCTGCTTGGGGTCGAGTGGGGCGCTGGGCTCTTGCTTCTGCACTGAGCTCGGTGTTGCCTTGCTGTTCCGGTGGTGTGAGCCCCTTTCTCACTCACGGCAGAGTGCTGCAAACTGCACTCAGATGGCATCTCTGCTCCCTGATCCCGTGGGTGGTGGGGTCTACCTTGGTATGTCCCCAGCCTGTCTGTGCTGAGCACACTATGTGGCCTCTGCAGCTCCTGGGAGCTGAGCACGCGTGTAATGAGCCCTGCAGATAATCAGTGAAGCCCTGCAAAGTGAGAACACAGTGTGCTGCCCTCTGTGTGGTTTCACCTGGTCTGAGCCAGCCTTGCAGGTCTGAATTTGGTCAAGGTTTGTGGGTGTGATGCAGCCTTGCTGTCTGAGAGCTGAGACTGCACTTGGCAAACAGAGCAGCCCTGGGACACTGTCACTTCCCTCTCCTGCTTTTGTCGTGGTGCTCAGCAACTCGGTGACTGCAGCATGCCCCAGCGATGGCTGTCTGTGTGAGAGAGGGGCGGCTCACTGCTCTTCCCTGGATTTCTTTGCTTGGGAGTGTAGCATTCCCACTCCAAAAAAAGAGAGGAAAAAGAAAAAAAAGAAAAGAAAATTCGCTTTCTCTGACCAGACTGTGACCTCCTCCCTGGCACCTGTATAATAACAAAGTGCAAGATGGAAAGTTTAAAAAGCAATCCTTGAAGTGCTTTGCTACAGCCAAGCTGCCCCAACCTGCTTGCTTTGCATCATTCCTGCCAAGTTCATGACTTTTCTGTAGAGATTATTCGTTACTGGGATGGGCTGGTTCCTAGGGAGGAGCACTGGAGCTCCTATTGGGACTGCAGTGGCATTTCACCAGACTCTCCTGGACTCAGGTACTAAGCTGTTTGGTCTCATCTGTGAGTAAAACCTATCCTGCAGCTCTGGCTTTGGCCGTCAGAGTGCAGCCTTCCCTCTCTCTTTCTATGCAGTTAGGTCCTCTGAGTCTGCTTGTGATGGGAGTCATTGCTGTGCACTGTATGAGCATCCTTGTGAAGTGTGCTCATCACTTCTGCTACAGGTAAGGAGCAACTCTAGTTTTCAGCACTGCTCCCTAATCCCTGTGCAGTGCCTGGAGCATGCCGTCGCCCAGGGAGCCCAGCCCTGTGCCGTGACAGGCTCGCAGTGCTGAGCTGCCGCCTGCCTTTGCATGTGCCCTGGGATGCAGAATGGCAGTATTGAATCCTTGCCCCCACTGAAGCAGGGTTGCATCGCCCAGCTCTGGTGGAAACCCTCCTCTGCTGCATCTGTAGCAGTTCTTGGCCTTGTTTCACAGCGGTCTCGGGACTGCATGCTCTTGTAATGCCTGTCTGGGATAAATGGGGAAATGTTACAGGAGCTGCCTCTGGTGAAATATCCTTCAGGAACTGCTTCTGATTTTGTTTTTTTTTTGTTTTTTGCAAAAACGTCTTTCCAATTAATGTTGTTTGCCTTGGAGACCAACAGATTGGGCCAATGTGACATCCTTTCTTTCCCTCTCCTCTGTACAGATTCCAGAAGCAGTTTGTGGACTACGGGGGTGCTGTGATGTACGGGCTGGAGTCAACTCCCAGCGCTTGGCTTCGGACACACGCTGTCTGGGGAAGGTACCCCTTCACCTCCCCTTCTGGAGAAGGGGCTTTTGTTTAAACCTAGAGTTAGCTGCAGCTGAAATGGAAGAGCTGGCTGGTCTCTGAGCTGCACTGGCAGAAGACAATAAGATATTATTTTGCTCGTATGCCCTGAGTGGTAGATGTTTCCCAGGGAGTGTTACACTGGGACCTTTGACACAGTCCTGTCCTGAGAAGATCAGGCTCCTACATAACTTCCCCAACTAGATGTGACTTAGGGGATGTGTCTTGTCTTTAGAGTTATACTGAAGGGGTGGGAGAAATAAACCTCTGCAGCATAAGGAGGAAGGGGTAAAGAATGTGTGCTACAGTCCTGCTCTATCTTCTCGTTAATCAGTGAGCACTGAGGTCCAACAACTGCTCCAGGGATGCTTCCAGCCCTGTGGATGTAGGCATATCAGATGCTGGAAACATCCACCTGTTTGTGTGTGTGCAGAGTGTCATCTCTAGCTGTGATGATGATTCAGCTGCAGACTAGAGGTTATAAACCCAAGGGGGGCAGTTGGCAGGGCCTCTCAGCCTGGTGACTTTCCTGCTGAGGCTGGTCCTGGTGCTATCTAGGGGTTAGGAGAGGGCATTGGAGAGCCTGAGGTCCATGAGGTTAGGTGGAGATGCAGTGCCCTTTCTGATCGCTAAAGAAAAGTGACCGGGGATGCTCTGGTTTGCATATGTCAGCCTTGTAGGAAAGGAACGTTGCTACGGTGTTCGAGCCTAATTTCCAGGCTCCAAGGGTGCAGGGCAGGCAAAGTCCAATCTTATCTAGTGACCTCTCTAATAAACAATCTTTTTTCTTTCCTAGGCGTGTAGTGGGACTCTTCCTGATCCTCACTCAGTTGGGTTTTTGCTGTGTGTACTTCGTCTTTCTAGCTGACAATCTGAAACAGGTTAGACTTAACCCTTCTTTCCGTAAACAAGAGAGAGACAGGAGGGAAGAAATCCTCTGATTTGTTTGAGGGAGGGGTGTGTGTGAAGAAGCTTAATGCTGCTGCAGCCTTGTTCTTTGGAGAAGATGCTTTCCATAACTGATGCTTCTCGTGAAGCTATAACCTCTCGTGAAGCCCAATTACTTTGGAGGATCAGTTTTTCTGTTAAGTTGGCCAGAGAGGACAGGTTGGTTGAAGAGAATCCCTGCAAGCTGCTTCTGTATAAAGAAGCATTAGACCGCATCCTCCAGGTGAAACAGAGGCCAAGTGCTGGAGAAGGCATGTAGGAATGAGCTCAACGCAGAGTGACTGCTCTTTGATAACCTGCCCGGTTTGGTCAATTGGTTTATTGATACCATGTATAGACAGTAATGGCTCCTGGGACCTGGCGTGAACTTATCCCCTCCCTTTTTTGGACCCATTTACATTCCCATTTCTTGCTTCATGCTGTGGCAGTGGTTCTATAGCTTAATTGCATGTTGTATGGAAAGAGTTTCCTTCTGCCAGGCGTTGGTAGGAAATAAACAGATACACCTTAACTGTATGCTGCCTAACTCTTGAGCTATAAAAAACTGAGAATAAGAAGTCCCTGTTTTCATCCTCTGCACAACTCAAGGCCTCATAGACCCTGTTCAGCGTTGTTCCCCTCCTCCCTTCTCGCCCTGCAAACTTCTGCTCCATGTAACGCAGTGGCAGTCCAGTTGCACCCACCATGGCAATAGCCTTCATCAGCCAGATCTTTCCTATTTGTTCACTGCTAGAGCTCTGGGACTTTTACTGAATCGCTGTGATTGGAGGAGCCCTCTCTTGAACTCCTTTCCTGCATACTGTGATTACCCGGCTGCTGTATTTCCCTGGAACAGAAAGCTAGCTCCAAGGCTGAGCTTTTGTGAGGAGGGAGCAGGATTTGTTTACTGCCTACATTTTAGAGAAAACTTCCTGGAAAGGAAAGTTTAGACTGTTTAACTTTGGACTGGTGCTGTGCATGTCAAGAGAGCAGAAAGGATGGATGGAGCGCTCTGTCCTCTGAAGTGGTGCTTTTTTGGCTCGCCGAGGGCTCTTCCAATCTTCCGTGAAGCCGTTCAGGGCAGTGAACTTGCAGGAGGGCTCCCACACAGGCTGTGTAATATGGAGGCTCACTTAGAAATAGGTAACTGCAAAGCTTCAGAGGTGGTTTCTTGGAGACCCCTGCAAGAGCTTGGGGGTTTCTCTATCCAGCTTCTCTTCAAATACTGCAGTGCCAAAGAGGGGCTGTTCTGGAAGTCAGTGGGCAGAGGATGAAAGGGAAGCTCTGCCTCTGCTCCGCAAGCAACAGCTGAGGAGGTTCCTTTCATCTTGTGTTGTGAGATTGCTTGTGGGAGTAAACATGTGAACACTGAAGATCTGATGCGAAACGCCCCCACTCTAAGCGAGGTGGTGTCCTGGGGGAAAGGGGCTGTGAGGCAGCCCACGCGCTTGCTGTGAAGTCAGTTGGCTTGGGAGGAAAACCCTGCCTGTTTACCCAGCTGCGCAAAAGCATCGTTTGTGGGCGTTGCTTTGGTGCTGGGCTGCATCTTGACTCATGGCCAGGAGGCAGGTCGTTTATGGGCCCTGGGATCTGCTGAGATCCTCCCACAGGGCTCTCCGTGGCCCCGAGACATCCAAGGAGGTGCGTGCCAGCTAACATTTTGATGTGCTGAGTGCTGGTGGGAGAGAGACAGCTGAAAATATCCTCATTTGGGTCTTAATCGCATTCTTGCAGGATCTTTCTCTCTGCTGGCATTGGGGAAACAATAGTTTGGGGTATATGTAAAACCAGACAAAGGCTTTGAGGCCATCAGAGCTTTAGGAAAGAGGAGCGAGAGCATCTTCTGTGTAAGGCAGGTTGAATCCTGGGGACTTGCAGCCCTTGTGTGGTCTCCTATCACTTGAAGGAGTCCTCTGTTTCCTCAGGGCAGATGATGTGTGTTTCAGGGACTGTTTTATCTTTGCAGCAGCCTCCTCCGTACCATTCTGAGAGCAGGAGTGAGCCTGAGGCAATGGCCAGTCGGGTGCACGCACGCACACGAGGCCGGGCTTCTGCTGGCGCACTGACCCCTGCTAGCAGCCTGTTGCTGCTCTTTCAAGATGGGCTTCTTTCTACTGAGACTTCTCTTGTTGCTGGGTAGTCTTGGACATTGAATGCTGGCTCGGACTGCGAATCAAATTTGCAAAACCATTGAAAATCCAGCCCATTTCAGGCCACAAACAGGAACCCCCTTGGCTTTGGTTTTGGATTTTTGAGTGGGGAGAGGGGAGTGTAGGTTGGTCTTTTTTGTGGTGCTGAACAGTGTCTTAGGTGGGAAACGGTGGTGCAGGTTGCACCTTGGGCAAGGTGCTGCTGCACTGGGCAGAGCTTTGCTTTGGAAAACTGCTTCTGAGCAAGCTACAGTAAGGTAAAGCAGGACAGGGGCTTGGGGAAAACACTGCTCTGCAGGGTACCATATCTCTGTGCTGCCCTCCCACAGATAATGCTGATGTGCACATAAGCTTTCCTCTGATGCGGGACTTGCTCAGGAGCAAGTTGAATTCATTTGTACACAGCCCTTTGCTGCAGTGACCAGACAACATGTGGTACCTGAATTAATTCTTTTGTGGCTGGTTGTATTAGTGATCTGGAACATGTCTGTGCCCTTGGAAGGGACACTCCAACTGTTGGGGAGGATTTGCCTCTAAAGATGAAGACGTGACCTGGAGTGCCTTTGGGACGAAAGAGCCCAAAGTATGATTTCCTCTGGGAAGTGCAGGATCAGGGGTCAGCAGTACATACCAGATCTCCTCGCGTGGCTTCCACTCTCAAGGCCTATGATGGAATGGCTTGGCTCCTCTGCCTGGAAAGAAGACATTGGACAGCTGACGGGGTGCATGGTTTTGAGTGCAACGTGATACAGCAAGAGGAAAGGGATCTTTAAGAAAATAGCACTTCATGCCTCTTTCCTCTCCTGTCAACTTGCCATGTGGGCTATGCAAACTACCTTCTGCCTTGCAGTGGGTATGTGATGGTAGCCAGTGGGAGCACTGAGCGATGCGCTCAGTTGCTGGGTTTGCGTGCTCGGGGAACCTGGGCTTTGGGAGTTTTCTCAACTGAGAGGCAGTAGCTGCTCCCATGCATGCTCTTTGTGTGGTAATGTGGATTTGCTTAGAAACTATGTGCCTCAATGACTTTAAAACCTGTATTGCTTTGATATCAAACAACTTGCTACATAAATGAGCTGATGAAGTAGTAGTCTGACCTACCTAGGATGGGCTGACAAGATCCTTAGTTTCTGACCCATGCTGCAGGGTTCATCAAGTATTCCTGTGCTTCCTCAGGTCATATCTGCAGCAAACAGTACTACCAATGACTGCAGCTCAAACAAAACTGTGGCCATGACCCCCACGATGGACTCCCGGCTCTACATGGTCTCTCTGCTGCCCTTTGTGGTTCTGCTCACGTTCATCCAGAATCTCAAGGTCCTGTCCGTCTTCTCCATGCTGGCCAATCTGGCCATGCTCGGCAGCCTTGTCGTCATCTACCAGTACATCATAAGGGTATGTGCGTGGGCCAAGCCGGATTGACTCCCCTCTGTCATTTCTTTGATGTCTTGTGCTTTAGCAGTCAAGTTACCCTTCGTAGGGGGAGGAAGCTTGGCAATCAATCCCAGGCTGAGGTGTTTGGAGACTGTGGGGTTGCAGCAGCAGTGTGGCATAGCGCGTGTAGTGGGAGCACGATGGTTCACTCTCTCCTTTTGCACGGCTTTCTGGGCCAGCAAGTGGCTGTGACAGGGAGCTGTGGCAATGGGTCAGGTTCTCCCCTTCCTCCTTGTGTCTGAACTGTGTGGGCTTTTTTCCAGGACATTCCTGATCCCAGTGACCTGCCTCTAGCAGCAGCCTGGAAGACCTACCCACTGTTTTTCGGCACTGCGATCTTTGCTTTTGAAGGCATTGGAGTGGTGAGTGTTAGCTTGCAGCAGCAGGACTGACTGCGCAGGAGGCTGAGCCTGTGCTTGTGCTTGCACAGCACCTGTTCTGCGTTGCAGCTGTATTTGCAAAGGAACTTCTCTGACGGTAGCCCAAATACTGGATGGTGCTGTTCATTCAGCCTCCAGGCTGTCTCCTGGGTCAAACTTTGCTTCCATCTGAGGCTGGAGAAGCACAAGCTCCAGACCTCAGGAGTTTATTTGCTTCTTTGAAGATGTCTGTATCTGGCACCAGATTGGGCTCTCCCAGGAACTTTACTGGAAGCTGCCTTTGGCTCTGCTCACTGGCCTATGAAGGAGGAATCCTGATTCTTGTTACCATGCTGAATCCTGAAGCTGCCTAGTGGGAGGCTGAAAAGCATGACAAAAAAACATGATCTATTCATTCCCACCTGGCTGGTGAGACAAAGTGATCTCCCTTTAGCAGCTGCTTGGCTCTGGTCTGCCAAATGGTGCTAAATTTGCATGTGCCTCTCGTACAAGATGTTGTAAGTAGACTGGCTGCATCTGAAAAAGCTGAGTGGGTGGAGTGCTTAATGGCTCACTAAGATGTTGTGGGTTATTTCCGGGAGCTCCCATCAAAGAAGGAAAAAATGTTTTCATATCTTAATATAAACTGACTGAGTAACCACAGGGATGGAGAATGCTGCATCCATTATACAGAAGAGCATTTACAGAATGCTCTGGCCAGCACTGAGGGCTCTTGCAAGCAGTAAGGCACAAACACACTCTTCCTAGCACAGCTTGGGGGTGGGGAAGCAAATAGGTTTTTCTGCTCCTGCCTCCTCATCAGCTCCTCCACTTTGTCTGTCCTTGAAATCCCTGGCACCCAAGAACACCTTTTAAAAACATTTGCTGAAGTCCTGTATTTGAAAGCAAGTGCTAGTAGTACAGAGGTGAGGGACTTGTCTCTGTCCCTCCCTTTTTTATTGTCCTGCCTAACTGAAATCTCTCCAGACAAACTTGATGGGAGAGGAGAAAGTGTCTCAGTTTGCAGCATCTGCTGGGGAAAATAGATAGCGCATCATGCCAGGCTTGTTTTCGAGGCCATTGCTGTGCCACTTTGGGGCGCAAAGTGTAAGGTAGCCAAGGTGCGGGACAGGCTGCATCGCCCCGTGATGGCAAACTCCCTGGTAAGCACAGTCCTGTGCTGTGGAGAGAGAGAGTGTCCCTTCTTTAAGGCAAAGGCATGAATTAATCCTGCTGGGGACTTGCCGTGTGAAGCCTGGGGGTCTCGAACTCAACTGCTAGAAGTCTGATCCCCAGTGTAGCAACTTTCTCCACTCTGTATGGCCATATGGTCTCTGGACAACTTGTGTGACCATCCTATTCGCTGGGTCTCGGCGTGCAGGGCTGCATTGGGACAGCTGTGCCTAGATCTGGGGTTTCCCTCCTAGCTGGTGGCCCTGCAGAATGGCAGCAGCTGGCTTTGCTGGCCGCCACGTCCTGGGCTCTGTGCTCACATCAGGGACGTCACAGCCTTTTAGAAATGGAGGGAAATGTGCTATTCCATTCTCTTCCTCCCCAAGGTGCTGCCTCTGGAAAACAAAATGAAGAATCCCCGGCAGTTCCCGCTGATCCTCTATGTGGGGATGACGATCGTCACTGTCTTGTACATTAGCCTGGGTGTCCTGGGATACCTGCGCTTCGGAGCAGAAATCCAGGCCAGCATAACGCTCAACCTGCCCAACTGCTGGTGAGTCCCCGAGTGGGAGCAGAAGGGCCAGGGGAGCAAGGGAGGGTGGTCCTTGCTAAGGATGTGGAAAAGAGGGCAGCGAGGGAAGTCTCTCCTTAAAATAACTAGCCTGAGTGAGTTTGGGAGTGGGATGATGGACATGGGGAGGGAACAGTGGTGTTGTAGCCTCTGTCCAAAGCAGCTGATCAAGTGTTGTCTGATGTATGGGATGGAGAAGTGCTCATTGCTGAGGTGTCTGGGCACTTGCTGCTAAGCTTGATTTTTGACTCTGCAGCCTGGGACCTGATTCTCTGGGTGGTTGAGCTGTTTCCTAGAGGTCTCTAATGGTTTCTGCCTTGGTAGATGCTGCTCCTGTCCTTTCTTGGAGCCTCGCAGTCTTGGTCTGGGGGCTAAGCAGAGATCTGGTTGGTGGTACTTGTGGTGTGAGGCCACGAGGACTTGAACCCAACCCTGATGTGCCCGTATCAGATCTGTGAACAGCCCAAAACCACTTCTCTTCCCCAAATGAAACAGACTGAAAACTAAACCCAAAGCTGGGAGCTCCCATGTAGGGGAGAGATGTGACGTCTCATGTAGGAGCTGCATTCCTGTTTGTAGCCCTGGAGCTCAAAGTCCCACTCCTGGGCTCTGCGCTGTGCCTGGATGAGGCTTTGCCTGTGGGAGTTGTTGCTGTGAGGATACCCCTTCCTTTAGGGGCTGAGTTCTGTGGCTCCCCAAACCTGTCTTTCCTCTTCTAGGATCCTGCAAGGCCTCTTGTAAGGCTCCAGTCACTGGCCTGTGGGATTGGAGCCCTATGGAAACACGCATGGCCTAACACTGTAAATGCTTATCCAGAGGGGTTATTTCTCCTCTTGTCATGGGCTGCTGGCTGTTGCAGTAGCTGGCCAAGTTGCGTGCCAGGTAACTTCTGGGGTTGCAGGCTATGGGGAAGCAAGGCATCTAGAGGAAAACTTGCTGTTCAGGGCTTGCTTTGTGAGCTTGGTACTCTCGCTTCCGATGTACACCCTGTTGCACTAAAGGCTATGTGTGTGCTGTGAACCTGGGAGACAGCAGGTCTTTTTGCTGGGTTTCCCTGTGTGATCTTAGCCAGTGCTGGTGTGGCAGTGCACGGCCTCTATGCAAAGGAGAGGACTCAAGGGTTTACCTGGACACAGCAGCCTCCTGGGCAGTCCTGTTCCCTGCCCATGCTGCTCGCGTTGGCCCCCCAGCTGCCAAACTGGAAATGCATTTGAAAATGTATGGTTAAGTCATGGCGCTTTGCATCGTTCTGCGTCCTGCTGCACGTGGCTTGGAAGGGCAGGTACGTTTTGAAGGGGCTTGAACCACTCTGCAGAGCCTGTGCTCATCTTGACCTTCAGTGCCCGTAGAGATGTATTCTCTCCTCAGGAGCTGGTTTCAAAGGACTTGAAGGGAAGGCAGTGGAGGGCAGGAGCTAGTGGGAAGCCCATTGGTCTCTTGTTCCATCTTGTTGCAGCTTGAGCTACGTTGACTGGTTGTATGAGGTAAAGACATGGGACCTTTGGAAACTGTACTCAGGTACAAACTCCTCTACCTGAACTTATCCTGCTCCTCAGGTTGGCTTTCACCTTTCTTGGCTGCCAACAGCGCACCTGTGGATCCCTCCCTGGGAGGGTAAATGGTTGCTCAGTGCAGTGACCTCATGATCATCCCAGAAGAGGAATGCAAGCATTTCTCTAGTAGCGGATCTTATGCCTTTGTGACAAGAAGTGTGGAGGCTCTTCAGTGTGCAAGTGTTGAGAATGGAGGCCTTTTCCAGCTTCCTCCACTTGGGAGTATTTGGGGAAGTCATGGACAAACTCATCTCAATTCCTACAACATGCTGTTTCGAGGTGTCTCTTTGGCAGGATGTAGCATTGACAGACAAGGAGGGAGGCTGGAGAGAAGCTCTGCTCCTCTGCCAAGTTGGTGCTTGCACAAAAGCACCTCTTGTGTGCTGATGCAGAGTAAGGGCTGAGGTTTGATTTGATGCCGCAGAGCTCCTCTGAAAGCTGTGCTCTAACGAGTTCTCAGGGTGCTACCTGGCAGCTGAGGAATGCTCTGAAGTTTGAGCTGCGCTTTGAAGTCTCTACTGGCTTGAAATCCTGCAAGAGACCAAAGTGCAAATGTGACCTGGAAATCCCCCCCACCCCAGACCTGTCCTATATTCTGTTAGCAAACTGCTGAGCTCTGTGCAAGGTGACTTGCTGCTGCTTCTCTGCAGATGAAGTGGAGTGTGACAGGACTCGTATCCTGAGTCACTGGTGGACTTCCAGAGAATGACCTAATACTACTAGTAGTAGTAGTAGTATTAATAATATTAGATAATTATATATGCAGCTCTGGGTGGAGAAAGCAGGATTTTCGCCCCTCCCCGCCAAAAAAAAGATTGCAGACCCCCTTCTTTTATTATTGCTTTGTGTGTTTCTTTAAATTTCAATGAATTTGTGTTAGATCTGTGCAGTGGCTGAACTGTGCTGGGTTTCTGTCTCTGTGTGGCAGGAAGTCTTGCTCCTGCTGAGAGCCTTGACTGGTTAACTACACTGGGATGGGAAGCCCATACAGGTTACTGCTCTGTCAGTGAGGAGGGATATCTTTTGAAAAATGTGTCAGCATTATCATGAGCTTTGAATCCCACCCTGCAGAGTACAGCAAGTATGAATTTCATGAGCTCAACAAGCCATAGATAAAATAGCTACACATGAGAGGGGGAGAAGACGAAATGCTGATGCTGTTCTTATGAGTGGAAAACTGAGATAGAGAACTGAAACAATAGTTTAAATTCAGTCTGTAGAAGGATCCTATGTTGAACGCACACCTCTAAGAGTATTCACAGTTTCCATCAAAGTATTTTTATGAAACAGTTGTAGTTTTTTTTTTTTTTTCTGATACAGAAAACGGAATAGCCCTTTTTAAGTGGTGCACGAAGAAGCTCAGGGAATGAGGCAGGGCTCCTGCAGGCTGCCTCTGGAGAAGGAGTGCTGTGGTCTATCGTGATTCAGCACACCAAGTACTTCAGTGTTTGTACACATGTTCCTTCCTGGCAGAACATTCGATGTAGGCTGTAAACATTGGACTTAACAAGACAGATAACATATTTCTAAAGTAAGGGCTGGGAAACTAAGGTTGAACACTTAATGAACACTGTATTCCCATACATTAAACCTTAGGTGATGAGGGAAGACTTGCTCTGGAAATGAGTTCTGCTTTGTTGCCTCTTCTTTTTTTTCCCTCCGCAGTAGGGCATTGCACTGTAGAAGCTGGTCATGAGGGCCGTGGGTAGGAAGTCAGGGGGTGCCTGCAGCAGGAGAGGCATAAGGCGAGTATTGTAGAGGAGATGCTACATCCTACTTTAGCTGCAGCTGTCGCCTGGAGGTCTCTAGGAACAGATTTGATGAACGTGTGAGGAATCATTGAGATACAGGATGACTAAGGACTTTTCCAACTTCACTGCTCTGTAACCACAATTTTCTGAAGAGTGTATCAGTTCCATCTGCCCAGGTCTAACCATGGTCTCTGAGAAATCCCGTGCTGCTATAGAGAAACCCCTCCTCACATCCTCAGAAGTGTTGCTTCACCTCACCATCTGAGAAGTGAAGAAATGCCACAGTGAGGGCAAACGTGTTTGCTTGTGTGTGGCTGCTTAGAGGTATGAAATGAAAGAGCCTATGGTCAAAGGATGGGATACTGTGTCTTGCTGAAATACCTTGGAGTACAGCTTGTAGGGACAGCCTGGTGTGGCCCTCCTGAATGAGCAGGTGTTTGCTGCAGTTAGCAGAGCAGTGCCTCTCCATGGCCCTAAGTGAACCCGCTTTCTCTGTGGGTCATGGCTAGGGCTTGAGCTCTTTCTCTTCTTGAGTTGAAGCTGCCCTTTGTGCTTGTATTGCTGGTTCCTCCTGACCTGTGCAAGATCTTGATCCAACCTCATTATATTTTAAGATAGCATCTCTTAAACATGGATAGCCTTGGAGGACTTTATTGCTTTACAACATTTGATATTCACTTGCTTGGAAATATGACTATAGGATATGCAAACTGTGGGATAGATGGCTAAAGGCTGCTGTGCACTCATGAACATCATGGGCTGTGGCTGAGTGGGTGCGCTTTGGACTCTGACATTAGCTTTGTCTTTAGTTTAACTATAGAATGACAGGATACTTTAGATTGGGAGGGACCTCATGAGGTCATCGGGCCCAAATCATCACTCAAAGCAGACCCAACTTGAATTCTGAATATCTGTCAGGATGGGGATTTCCCCCACCTCTCTGAGCCTCTGTTCCAGTGCTTAACCATCCTTATGGTAAAGAACTTTTCTCCTGTCTGTTTAGAATTTCTCCTGCTGCAACTCTGTCCTGTTACCTCTGGTACTTCTGCTCTGCAGCTCTGAGAAGAGCCTGGCTTTTTCTTCTCCATGCCTTCCCATTAGGTAGCTGAAGATAGCAGTAATGTCTCCCTTAACCTTCTCTTCTTCAGCCTGAACAAACCCAGTTCTCTCAGCTTCTCCTTACACATAATGTACTGCAGTACCTGACTATCTTGGTAGCCTCTGCTGGACTTACTGCAGTAGGTTAATGGCTATCTTGTCTGGGAAGTCCAAAACTGGACACAGTACTCCAGCGGCAGCTTCATGAGTGCCAAACAGAGGGGAGTAATGCCTTCCCTTAACCTGCTGGCTACACTCTTGCTAATATAGTCCACTATGTGTTTAACCTTAATTGTTGTAAAGACATGCTGCTGACTCATGTTCAGGTTGTTGCCCAGCTTGGCCAGCATGCCTGTGTAGGGGAACTGGTAGGACCACGTGTGTAATGTAGCTAGATATTGTTCCTCTGTCAGAGGTTGTTCCGTTGCCAGGGATCTCAGGGCAGAGACAGGGCTAGGGGATGGCTTCCCAGTGAGCTGTAGAAGGTTCTTCTGGAGCCACCCTTGCCTCCTGCCACTTCGCTGTAGGATCTGGGACATGGTAAGGTCTGACTTGGTGCGAGCCCAAGCTCTTGTTTGCAGCCTGTCTGCATTCTAAGTTCCTTCCAGGCAGCCCAAACTGCTATTTTAACTGTCTTTTCCCCAAACAGGCATTATGCAGTGTTCCAAAAATAGCTAATTTTTTTTTTTGTTTCACGGAGGCAGCTTAATTGCAGGTGGTAGTGATGATGCTTGCATTATGTTAATTTTCTAAACTACTTGGGAGTCAAGCAGTAATTGAAACCTGAAATATTCATGGCTGCAGCTGATAAACCTCTTTGAAGATGTTCTTCATCTTCTATTTTAAGTCAGAGAATAAAATCCTGCTGGTTGCAACCAGGAAGAAAGGAGTTTTTTCTATCCTTCAGCTCAGAAGCTGGATTTTGTTAGTGAAGGCAAAGATGAGAAATGTTTGGTGAGGGGCTATGAATGCAACTTCCTTCATTCTAAGTCACTGGCTGAAAGTCAGAATTGCAGGTTCCTGCCGGTATCAGTGCTATTAGCCATCTTTCTGGTGAGGACAATTTCCTAATGGTTGGGTTTTCGGGTGTGGTTCATGGCACGTACACTGCATGGCAGTTGGGAGGAAGGCCACCCTGTGTCACTGCATGCCTTGCAGAGTCCAGACCAGTCACATGGAAGTGGAGAGGACAGTAAGGAGCCCGTATCCCTCCATAAGGAGTGAGGTACCCAGAGGACTCGTAACTTTGTGCAGCCAATGGCAACATTGTGCATACGAGCTGCCAGTGGTATTTTCAGCATCTAAAAATGTAGGTAGGTGCCTTAATGTGTAAAGGAACACAGGGCTCGTGGTCTCTTGGCTAAAGACATGTCAAACTTCTCTTCACCCTTGAATGAGTTAGGAGTGGTACAGTACTTTTTTTTTTTTTTTTAAATAGCCCTTAATATCTGGCCCTAGAGGTTTCCCAAGGGGGAAGCAGCACTTAAAACTCCTGGCCTGCTTATTCTTTACGCAAAGCCAGACTTGAAGCCTCTGATTAGGTGCTGGGGACATGTGTTGCCATGGCTTGTAGGTTGCACTATCTCCTTGCCATCTCTTATGCAAGAAACAGCTCAGCGGATTGAAGGCATTGCCCCTTAATTTGGAAGGGGGATGTGTGGAAGGGAAACAGCTGAGACATAAATGTCCTTCTGGCAGAGTGTTTCTCTTCTGCTTTTTGCCTTTAGCTAATGCCATGGGGGTTGGAACGGGAGCCCATCTCACCACATCCCCTCCTCCTCATTTGTAGGTTATATCAAGCCGTCAAACTGCTTTTCTCCTTTGGAATTTTCTTCACGTATGCTGTGCAATTCTACGTGCCTGCTGAGATCATCATCCCTCCTATCATCGCACGAGTGTCAGAGCGCTGGGGGTGGCTGGTCAACCTGCTCCTCCGGACGGTCCTGGTTGGCATCACCTGTGAGTAGAAACAGCCTGTTTGGAGTTTCTCTCTTAGGAAATGGCACCCTCCTTCCCACCACGAGCTGGTAGTGCTGTGAGCCTTAGCCCCTCGCACAGCCTGGCCTTGCCACCTCTTCCCCTCCTGATAATGCCGTGAGTCTCTTGAAACTTTCTAATGCAAACCAGAGGGCCAAGAAAGGTCTACCAACAAGCAGCAGCAGCGGTCCTCCAGTCCCTCTCTGGGGTAACAGCCTCCTCTGCTGAGGAGCAGCCCTTAGGGGCTTATTGCTTGCGGAGAGATTGAGGGCCTGTGTCAAACTCCCTTATGCTCCCTGCAGCTGGAAGGTGCTTAGGCCTTTTGGCCTGTGGGCATATGCTTAGTTACCTTAGAGCCTCTTATGTCTCCTGATATCTGCAAATTTCCTATTTGAATTGGAGGTGACAGATCACCCTTAAACCTGGGAAGTTTTGGGAAGGGAAACTGAAGACCTGGTGAGACACCTGTTGCTTGTGGCCAAGAGGGAGGCTAGGCTCTAGCTGGAGCATCTGGTCACGCATTCTTCATATGCTGAAGGCGTGTGTTTGCTTTCAGGATGCGTGCCTCAGCAGGGAGGAGTTGCTGCAGTTTGACACCTTGCCAGATTATTAGCTGTGTGTTGCAGTTCTGTGTCTAGACAAGGCTGCAACCTGACACCGCTTTGCACAGTGATGGGGCTCCCTTGGAGCCTGGAGAATGGGATCCCACTGATGATACTTGCTGAAAAAAGCTGTGTATAAAACAATCCCAACACCGGGTCTGATGCCAAGACAGCCTGGACTTGAGGCTGTCTGTTCTGTATGCATGGAGCAGCCAGGCTGCCTGTGCCCAAGCAACACCTAGCAAGGGACAGCTGCAAAGATTTTGCTGACAGTGAGGGAATAAGTGTAACTTCCTGGGGTGCCAGACTAGTTTGTAGTGGTATCCCTTTTAGAGTGTGGGACTTGAGACGAACGTGTATTTGCACCTGATGCCTTGCTGCCTGTGTTCTCTCTGCAACAAAGGAAAAACTGGTAAAGCTATAGTTTAGAAAAAAAAAAAAGGGGAGGGGTGCGGAGGGGGAAAGCTTATTGGCTATTCGGAAGAAACCTCAAATGAACAATGAAGAGCCAGATCCAGCTAGGGAATCGCTGTCCTGGGCAGTTTGACTTGACCAGCTGTGGCATGATAACCTCTTGGTTACTTCCATGCATGCCTTACTGCCTTATTTGCCCAATTTCTCTGCTGCATTGGCTGGACCCTGTGTGCTATGTGCTGCAGGCAGGTCTGGCTACCTCAGCCCAAAACAGTCCCTTTTCCTCCCACTCGTTTTGTGGCTGCGGTGAGGCTGGTGGAGCAGACTGAAAGGTTCAAGCCCTGGCTGACCTTCAGAATAGGTGTGGTGGAGCCAGCTCTTATCACCCAAACATGGCTCATCCTGCTAGCCCTGAGGAGGTGCTGGCCCAGGGTGCAAGGCTCCCAAAGCCTGAGAGCAGACTTACTCAAGGCCCACGTGCTGGACAAAGCAGCAAGGCTGAAAGTGCCCTATACTACTTGAGTTGAGGGCTTGGGAAGCATTTTCAGGTGCTCTGGCCAGACCTGGAGATGTTATCTCTCCTGGGACGCCTCCTGGCATGGACTTCTCTTGTTATTTTCGAAGCTGTTTGGTCGTCCCTGCAGGAGGACACATAGCTTTGGGAGGCAACGCTAAGGCCAAGCGGCTGATGCACAGTCTGAAATCAGTTATTGTTCTGCTGCAGCTATGGGAGTGTTGTGGTTGGACCTGACTGGTTTGGAGATGATTTTTAATCACCGCAAGTATTTAGAGTCATTTTGAATTAACAGGCCAACCTCCTGAAGGGCTGTTGTCTGCTCTGGCATTGTTTGTGGGCAGCACGGAGGTGTAGCCTGATGCCAGCCACCCCCTGTCTGCTGTAAAAGTCATTGCATGCAGTTGCCCACAGAATTTGGAAGTTTAGGTGAACTCTGATTTTAGCAGGTTGAGGAATAGGGTTTGACCTGTCTGCCTATTTTTGAAGGGGAAATATGAGCTGGGAAAGGCAGATCTGTTGAAGTCTGAGAGGCAACACGTTGCTGAAACACAGGAGTATATGATTTTTGGCTGGCTTTGCTTCCTGAAGACTACATCCTTGCTGTTGTCAGCACAGCTGAGATGCTTGAATGAGCTTCAGGCATCTCTCACCAAGAAAGACCTTTGCTCCATGGTTTGAGGGTGCTGATACACCAGAGTTCAGCGTCAGAGACCTGGACTCTGCATCCTAGCCAGCTTCAGTTTTTGACTTGTGAGACAAGCGCAGCATCCTGGAAGATGGAGCTGGCTGAGAGCCTGTTGGTTTCTGGACTCTCGATAATGGTGATGGTCCAGAAATGCTGCCTTAACTAGGATAGACAAAGCCCTCTCTCCTCTGTGCTGAGTTCCTGAAGCTCCAGTCCAAACTATTCAGGTATCAATGCTCATGTTCATAATCCTGCCTAGGGTCTGGGCATCCCTGGCCGCTGTAGAGCTCCTGCAACCAAATACGTTCAGTGTCTTGGAGTAGAGATCCCGTGGTCAGGCACAACCTTGCCAGGCTCAGCCTTGCCCAAGCCTTCACCAGCGTCTGGGAAATGTCCTGCCTGAAGGCAATATGCTGCACAAGCAGGAGCGATACTGGTGGCATCTTTTGCTGAATCTTGGGCCCAGTGAAGAGTAAATCCATAGCAACTACTGGCTTGGTAACAAGGCTTTGCCTGGCCACACAGGAGGCAATGCAGGCTGCCTCACAGCCATCTGAAGAAAGGGAGGAGAAAACCTTTTACTGTCCAGCTGGAAAAGAAGAGCACGGGCTATTTATTCTGCCTTGTCCCCCCCTTGCATGGGAAAAGCTAGAGCTAGCATAAAGTGGGATTGAAGTGCACAAGGCAAGTGTTTGATCTCTGGCTCTCTTTTGAACTGCGGATGATGCTGTAAGCTGGCATCCACCCTTCTGCATGGTGGCCTGAGCAAGACCGGGGAGTTTGGCGAGGCCAGAGGGACAGAGCAAAGATTAAATCCTGCAATACTGGGACATGTGCTATGGTCACCATCATGCTAATGGTCAAGCTCAGAGCCTGCTTCTGGGAGGGCAGCCCATGGCATCAGGGTGGAACTGAACAAGTGAAGGAAGGGTTAGAGTGAAGGGATGGCTTTAGTGATGGCAATGGCTGTTCCCTCCAGCACAGGGCTGGGGGTAGAGAGGTGTTGGTGGAAGGATGCAGATTCCTTTGTATCTCCTGTCTTTCGGTGTAAGAGACCACTGTGGCTGTTGGCAAAGATAAAAACAATTAAGGGGGTTGCCTGAATATTCACTGGATGATCTTGTGGCCACAGAACAAGGCTACATCATGGCTTTGGCTTCCAAAGAGAGGATGCAGTTTGCTCTATGGGTGTCTTTTAAGCTTAGACTTCAAAACCAGCACGGTTAAAAACCCTTTGAATTAATATCTGTGGAAAGTGTGACTGTTGCCCCTGGAGGCTGAGGACTGCAGCTGGTACTTTAATTCTGCTTGTTTTTGAGTGGGGTTTAATCCTGTTTACTTTGAATCCAAAG